CTTAGAAACCACACTTTCAAAAATGGTCTCTAAATTCTAGAGGTGCACTGATACGTCAGTCCCATAGCAGATTGTCACTGACATGGGGAAAATCGACAGTATCAGAAATTGGCTTTTTTTTGCCTGATGTGGCTGATAATGTGACCGACAAATGCCCTGTGCATGCGTGCAGCCTGGAGGCTTGGAGAGCAGCATTGGACTGGTAAGTCTGGTGTGGGGAAAGAGGTAAGGGGAGGGAAGGGGCATGGTGGGGCAGATCAAAGTCCCTGCGGTGAGAGAGAGAGTGGGGCGGGGGCGGGTGCTGCCCAGGCAGGACAGGGCTCAGCCATGAGCAGCTTATTCGGGGTGCGCTGTGCTCACCCCGGGAGGGCATGGGGGGGTGTGATCCCCCCCACCCCCAGGTTCTGCATGTGGGGCAGTGTAGGGCAGGCTGCTGCTGGGGCTGGGGGCTGTGCTGGGCTCTTCCCGGCAGGGGCGGGGCCAGATTGTGCTTGGGGCAGATGGTGGCCCCAGCCCACAGCAGCAGCCCGCCCTCGCCCCATGCACAGATCTGGGGCCACATGTCCCTCATGCCCTCCCTGGGTGCACACAGCAGTGGGAGCCTGTGCCCCCCTGGATGAGCCACTTGTGGCTCTGTCCTATGCCGTGGCTGAGCCGTGCCTCCCCAGCCCCACTCCCTTCCTCACCATGGGGGTCAAAATCTGCCCCCCTACATCCCTTCCCTCCCCCCACCTCTTTCCCCACACCAGATTTACCTGCCTGATGCTCGTCTCCAGGCTGCCTGGCTGCATATCAAATTGGTATTGGCTGATATGGCTTCTTAAAAATTGACCATCGGTTTTGGCTGAAAAAAATGTCTACCAGTACACCCCTACTAAATTCACAACTGCACTCCTGCACACAGATCCAATTGTGTGCATCACATGTTTAATCATGTATCACTGGGTTCCAGGAGTAGCTTCTGGTTCAAAATGGGCCATGCAAGAAAGCCCCTTGTGAGGATTTTCTTGAAGGTTTAAATTCTGGAACTGGAAATGTTCTCAGTACTTGGAGAACTATTTTATAGTTAAAAAAAAAACAAATCAAAATGTTACCCAAAGTATCTGTTAATTGAGGACTTCCTGACGTATTACAATGTATTCACTGAAAGAGAAATCAAAGTAGCATAGAAGGTACTTACATCTTGCTGTTGTTCTCAGTCTTGCCCTTGTGAAGTTTTTTCCAGTCACATTTCCTGTGCCCTGCATTTGTGTGTATAACTTGAGAGGTGTGAGCAGCTGCTATTTTGTTTTTTTCAATGGTTTTCTTCCTTACCATAGTGTTCGAGAGGTACAAGAGCTACAGCCCATATGACATGTTGGAGAGCATCAGGAAGGAGGTCAAGGGAGACCTGGAAAATGCCTTCCTTAATCTTGGTAAGCTGATGCATGTTCATCCAGGTTAAGATCAGTTTACAAAAAAACATTTCCAATGCTCTTGCAGTCTTCTTACAGAGAGGAGACAGAGATAGGCTCACTTGCATAATGACTGCTCTGAAGATGCTAGAGGAAAGGACAGACGTTTAGGGTGCCACCAGTGTGGGATCTATTAATGAATGTTCTTGTTTTAATAGGAAGTGGGAAGAAGTGTAGCTAAGTGATTTACTGTCTTCTGCTAAAAGTAGTCTCTGCAACCAGCTCTTCAAAGGAGAAGTACTACATAGTTTATGATCTGCTGTTACTTTTTCTGTGGTATATAGGGACTGAATCGTCCCTTCAACTTTATGGGAAAAGGTAGCTGAACCTGACACCTGAAATATTTTCTCTTAATGTCTGCTTTAGAAATCTGGCAAGCTGAGAGAGACTGAAGAGAACAACAGTGCTTGTCAGAGTCACCCAGGAGGACTTTGGGAGACAATTAGGGGCATTTAATTTGCCATTGTGTTCTGTCACATGGACAGGAATGCAAATGCAGTCAGGTGCTTTGAATTGTGGAGTTTGGAGAGGTGCCATGGAGTTTGTTTGTGGGGAGTTACTGTAGAGGGATACATATTTTAGAGATACAGTGCTGGGACAGCCAGGGACTGTTTAAGGCAAAAAGGCATAAGGAAAAGCACAAACCCTGCAGGAGAAATCTACCTGGATATCATCAGTATTAGCATTTTCAGAAAGGAGGTGACCAAAATTATTTAGATGAACAAAGCCTAGGCCTAGAATTGTGAGGGAGCACCATAATGTGATATGATAGCACTACAAAGATAAAATATTTGTCAGATCTTGCACAGCTATGGTTAAATGCCTTTGTGTGGCTGCCTAAACTTACCCACTTGAAACAGTCATTTCAGATGCAAATAATGCATCTGTGGTATTTTTGGAAGTATATCTCCTCCTTCCCTGTAGATTAGCCATCACATCTTCGACAAAAGAAGTGCAGTATCATTCATTTTGTATACCTCTAGCAAGTGTAACCAATCATACCATCTTCCTTTTTCAGTCCAGTGCATTCAAAACAAGCAGTTATACTTTGCTGATCGATTGTACGACTCCATGAAGGTATGGTGGGGCTGAAAGAGGCCTTCTTTCTACTGAATCTTTTGCTTTCCTTCCTTGTCTAATCACATTTTCTTCTTCTTTTTTCTCCATTAATTTTGCAGTTGTTTAATGACACTGGCATAGCTAATTACATCATCAAGGCTGGTTTTCTTCAAAAGCATGCTTTAATATTATATGCATAGAGAAATTAATCTGATGTACTTTATGCAGAAATGTCAACAGACATATATTGAGAAAGAAAATAGTAGACTAAATAGCATTCACTGCAAACAACCACAAAGCTGTAACAGTAAGTTTGTTCTGCAGATACTGTTTCAAATCTGCTGCTGTCATCAACACCTAGCTTTGAAGTATAAAGTGAACATCAGTTATTTTCCCCTGCACTTATTTCTTGCGTTCACATTACATTCTGGCCTCAGGGAATTATACCTTGTGGAAACAATAGTAGTAACTTTTTTCAGAGTAAACGTGATATATCAAGCTTTTTTGTTAAATGTTAATTAATTTAGAAAAGAGAGACGAGAACATTATTAAGGCTGTGGACAAATGTAACTTTCAACCACTTGGAGCATGCATTGGCTGTTCAAATGCAGTTATATCTGCAGGTTTCTCTAGCTGTGTGAGTAATTTCACTGTCATTTTAACCCTGAAAAAAATTGGTTTGCTCCACTTGTAGCCCATAGAAACATACAGATACACTAGCTATGTCATAAGAATATCTAGGACTACCATTAGAAGCTAGTAACACTTTTAAATCTGTCCACACTGCTTGATTGGCAGATTATTCATGGGTGTCAAACTTTAAGTAAAATTTTAAAGCCAAATCTGATTCCCATTTAAGTGAATTGGAGTGGATTTTGTCCATGGATTAGTAGGTTTCAGGACAAAGGCTATATAGTATGAGTTAGAATGGGTACCTTACCCACAATACATAGCAAATGGTGGTGAGATGATAACTGAATCATGAAACCTTGGACAAAGAGTAAGTAATCTGAAGACTGTCAGAGTGTGGGATGTTAAAGTGGAGACGACAAGCATAAGTCACAGGAAAGCGTTCCTAGTATATTTTATGTGGTTGGCCACTTTTATGTGCTGATTAGGATTTATGTCCTGTACTACAGTAGGTAGAAAGTTCCCAGAGAAGAAACAAGAAAGATTAAAAGGAGTGGGAGCTTATTTAATGTAAGAAATCTATAAAAACTTGCCT